GGCATATGTCTGCCGCAGCTCCTTGATTTTCATCCAAACCTGCTCCTGGGTTCGCATGTGGCCTTTGGTGAAGATGGCCGCGTTCCTCCATCTAGTGTGGAGATCATGGACGTTGGAGGCATCCCCCCAAACATGAACTAGGACCCTGATCTCCACACTGGACCAGGAAGGCTCCCGCCTTTTCCGGCCCCTGGCAGGCTCCACAGCTGGCAGACTGGTCCTGGGGAGCTGCTGACAGGAGCAGTGAAGGGCTGGCTGGCAGTGGCTTGCTGGCTAATGTTGGGGCCACTGGGTCGGGGCAGCAAGTACTGGCTCTGGCCTGGCAGGCCTGGAGCTGGCACTGGCACTGTGGCCATACTCTACCCCTTTAAGAGCTCCGGGTAGGTGGGGAGGAGAGGAATTTTGCTGGTTGGGGACAGAGTGGCCAGCTGGGGGTCTGCATGGGTGGTTGGTGCAGCAGGACCCCAGCCGCACCTACAGCCCCACCCCCTCTGCTGGGACCCCGCCCTCCCACAGGGAGGGGAATAGGTAGGGCAGTGTGCCTAGCGCTTGTGTGCCCCACCATGGGGAGGGGAAGAGCACGCATCCCAGCCTCCCCAGAGCACTGGGAAGGGAGGTGGGTGTGCTGCCCAGGCCTCTGCGGCCCCCGGAGCACCAGGGAGGGCGGAAGCTGCGCAGCCTGAGCTGGTTTGTGCCTCCCCCACCCGCAGAGCACAGGGAGGGCGAATGGCACGTGTCCCCAGCTTCCTCAGCCAGAAGCAGTGGGGAGGGCAGGTGTTGGGGGCAGCAACACTCTGCCCCCAGAATGCCTACAGCAGTGTTCTGGGGGCGGAGTGTGGGCGGGGCCGTGCCTGGTGGTTTCCCCTGTCTAGCATATCGGACACCTATGCAAAGATGTGAAATGAGAAGGGCAGTCTGTGATGAGGAAGAAGACTGTCCCAGACAGTAAGTTGCAAAGAAGGTGGTTGCTCACAGGGTATGTCTGCATAGCAGTTAGGAGGTGTAATTCCCTTGTGTGGGTTGACATACATGTGATAGTTCTGCTTGCACTAGCATGCTGACATTAGCAGTATGGCCATGGTGGCCCAACCAGTGGCTTGGGCTAGCTGTTCCAAGTACATACACAGGCGGTCAGATGGGGTTGTACTTAGGTGGCCTGCAGCCTGAGCTGCTGTCCATGCCACTACAGCTACACTGCTATTTTTAGCGCACTGGATCAAGCAGAGCTAAGAACTACACCTCCCAATAATGATAAAAGCATACCAGTAGTGGTAAGACTGCCCAGAGAGTAGTCCCAGGCCAGGTGACAGGGCATCTAGGAGCACAGAGGCAAAAACAAGATCATAGAGTCTTATAAAAATGAGTGTACTTGTGAATGAATGGGTTGGCCACTGGCATTGTTGGAGGGTAGGAGTGATTTTAGTTGTGCTTGTTTGCATTTGTGTGAAGGTGGGTAGCAGCATTCTGCATGCCAAAGTCTGGAGAGCTGGGAATTAGAGGCCATTTGAGACGGAAGTTTTTACTTCCTTTCATAATCCCGTTTTAGACCGAATCAGATGATGGGGGATCAGTCTTCACCTTCATGCGCCTTTGCTCTTTAAAATATTAGTGACGTCTTTTGCTCTTCCTCAGGAATTCAATGTGTCTAATGCTTGAGCCAGATTTTTCTAGTGTTTATTCAGTTAAACCTGAAGTACTAAGTTTATTGCATAGGGCCTTACCTAAAATTTAAAAAAGATCTGATGGAGACTTAAATATTCTGTGGTGGCATTCTGAGTGCTGGGGACTGACAGGCCATTGCCAATTTGCCATGTGGTGTTTCACTTAGGTTGTAGAATGACAGTGAATCATAGGCCTTGTTTTGGCTATTGAAATCAATGCTAAATCTTGAATTACTGTCAGTACTGTAATATTGGACCCTTAGAAGGCCTTTTAATATGATGAGACTTGTGACTCCTTAGGTAAATCACTTGCCTTTTATCTCCCAGACCATGATTTGATTACAATATCAGATCTTGGATGAAGGGGCATTGTTGAACACAAATCAGTCTTTTGTGGATGAATATACCATATAAGCAGCAGATGTATGATCATTCAGCATCACTGACAGTCTTTGCTGGGAAGAGAATTTAATATAAGAAATTGTCTAGCTTTTCTGGGGAGAGAGGGCGAGTGGACTACTCTAAATAAATCCCTATAAGGGAATGCAGAGAAACTCAAGCTGAAGCTATGTGGAAGCTGGCATACTGTTAAATATGCAGTTCTTTTACAAACGTGCCCAACCCCTTGATCTTTACAAACACTTTATATCCCAAAAACCAGAAAGCAGATTATTGTGTTTTCCAGCAAACTTACTATAGTATTCAGTGCATGTTAAGAATTTCTCACATTGCTGAAGCTAGAAAATCTTAATGCTTTCCACCATACATTTTAGTATGTGTAGTGAGCCAAGAGGAATGCTTTTATGAAAAGTAAATGCATTGAGATTTGATAGTATTGAAGTATAACAGAGAACAGAAGTTTTCTATGGATTCCTCAGTGTATTTTTATAAAGGGAAGATTAAAAGGAGCAAGGGGAGAAAGAGAAACTATAGGTTTGAATCTGAAGCTAATTACTTTTGTTAAAGTATAAGTTGGACCTCTCTGGTCCGGTACCCTTGGGACCTGACTGGTCCCGAATGAGAGAATTTCCAGACCAGGGAGGTCCCCTGCTACTTTCCCTTCCCACTGCCAGCCTCAGCAGTGTCCCCTGCCAGACTGTCGTACTGCTGCATCCCTGGCTTCGACCCCAGCCTCGCAGCCATGGTCCCGGTCCCAGCCCCACTGGGCGCTCAGCCACCATCCCTCTAGCTACTAGGACTCCCAGCCACAACTTCCTGGTCCAGGAACATCCATGGTCCCGACAGACCATGGATGTTGACAGACCAGAGAGTCCTGGTTTTGGGAGGTCTAACCTGTATAATGAAAAATGGCAATGGATAACTGCGTTAAAGTAAAAAGAAATAAAATTAGAAGATTGCAAATGGATTTAAATTATGAAGTTCTTTTAAGTAAAACACTGTATACTCAATAAACATGTGCAGTATATCACTTCTGTGGGAACATCCACTGCCCAAATAACCAAATCTCTCTCTTTCTCTCATATTTCCCAATGGCCAGTCCAGATCTACTGAATATACTTTGTGTGTGTGATTTCCATGATACATACTGAACCCTCTGCAAACATGAGAAAAGTCCACCTTGGTGTTGTCTGCTATTAGTAAAGACACCAGCAAGTGACAATAGAACCTGTTGCTGAATCATGACTTTTGCTCTAGGGTGCGGTATTTTAATGCAGTTTGTAGTTTACTGAGTATGTGAAGTTCACTGTCAGATGTCTGTGATTGCTATTAGCCTGTGGTGTTGCAGTTAGTCAAGCTGTCACATACAATTTCCACACTTCTATAAAAGGAGAACCCTACACTTGCCTCTGATGACCTTCTAAGAGACTTTTTAATTTACCTTTACAGTATACAGTAGTGGGTGTGTGGCAAAACCACGAATCCTTTGATTAATAGAACATTCTTCACACACAGGATCCCAGAAATGTACAGTATGAAGCTGTGAAAACAAGAAAATGTAGAAATCATCATCAGTAGAGTTAGTTGGGAATTTTCTTTCACAATGTCTCTTTTCAACTGAAAATATAGTTTCTTCAAAATCAAAATTTTCTACAGGAAAATTCTGACTTTTCTAACTTTTTTCAGTTTGACCAGTTGAAAACTGAAGCTAAATATTTCATTTTGGGTTCACCTGAATTGAAATAATGTGGTTTGTTAAACCAAAACAACATACTCAATTTAGGGGTTCATTTTGATTTTGAACTGTGTCCACCCCTATTGTTACTACCTCGTGGCAGTCAGCTGACCACCGTATATCACTGTACTTCAGTTGGGAAGCTTGGTGCTTAGAGAAGAATGTGGGCATGAGGTACTGCTGCAGCTCAGGTGGACACAGTTCAGTGTCAAACTGAGCCAAAGCAAACAGTTTGAATTCAGCTCGACAAAACCAGAATGAAGCTATTCTATGTGGAGAGGTCAAAGTATTTGATCAATGTCCAGAAAGAATATGTCAACATTTCTCCAAATAAATTTTTCCGAATCTTCTCTTGGAAAAATTTGAAATTTTTGTATAATTTGGTATGAAAACAAATGTCAAAATATGGAAATTTCCCATTTAACGGATACTCAGATTTCCAGTTAGCTCTAAGAAGAAGGTAAAATGGCAGGATTGTAAAAACACATGCAGGCCTAACTTCCTCTGATTTTTCTCCCCTTTCTCAATCTTTTTAAAGCATAAAAACTGTTTGGATCAGACATCTTAAATATTGAGGTGTTGGGATGGATCATGAATTGTTGACCCATTGCAGGAAAGAGGTCATCCACAAAGCTCTCACTACTGTTACTGCTATTTTGGATATTATATAATGAATTGTTTACATTGGCATGCTAATTAATTTCTCCAGAAGAAGGTATTTTAAATAGAGGCACTTAAACATTCTGTGTGTCTGTTATGGATTTGGATCTTTCACCTCCTTTTTGGTAAGATAAACAGTAAAAATTGATATTCCATAATTGGGACAATTGATACAGCAGATTCCCCCTCTCTCCGCCCAAACATAATAGAAATGTGTGCTTGGTCAGAGAGAGGGGGGAATCTGCAGTATGAGCTCTCTCCTGAAGAGATCCTCAAAACTTTTCACTTTGGGAAAAAAAGGCTGGCAGTATGAATCTTATAATTAAAATACAAATACCATATTGTAGAATTTGTAGCCTCCTTTATGACTATAACTCAGGTCCCAGACTGCATTTGCAATGCTTTCAAAGAAGACAAATTGGAAAAATGTGTATGCAGTAAGTAAAGTTTTCCAAGTAGGTCAAATTAAAGCCAGATCTTCAGTTGCAGTAATAAAAGACAGGTGAAGACTAGCAAAATATTATTTTTTTAAATTTCCTTTTCAGTTCTCCTGATGCCTTTGGTGGGTTTCGATGCCTTTTTGAGACTTGTGGAGAGACTGTTGCTTAAGACTGAAATAGCATTGGCACCAAAAGATTGTGACACTTCATGAAAGTCCCTGATTTATGCTTTCAGCCAATGATGTTGGGTTTGACTTTTTATCCTGTGTTCTGCAGAACTTGCTCCATTAAAACTCAAAATTGGTAGACATTATTAATTTATCCAGGGCTATGAATGTGTATGATACTTTAAATGTGAGTTAAAAATGATGGATTCCTGCTCCTAAGACCTTGCATTTTAAATTTAAACAACTCTCAGTCACCTGTGGCAATAGGCATAGGGTGAACAAGGGGCATATGGAAGTTAGCTGGGTTATCAGTTATTGACTGTGTGATTTATTCATTGTTACAGAAATTCAAGTTTGAGGAAAGTGGAGTAAAGATTTAGGTGGAGAGGTAGAGTTATGTTACAGGACTTGGTTATGGTACACTAACAACTCCAATTATTATAGAAGAAGATTAGCTTTGGCTATCTTCATTGCTGTAAAAAATTAAAGATCGCATCAAATTTTGCTCTCCCATTGTCCATTATGGTTGATTTAAGCCTATCTATAAGGGTATGTCTATACTACAGCATTATTTCGAAATAGCTTATTTCGAAATAACGCGTCTACACACAAAATGCATTTCAAAATAGCATTTTGCTATTTCGAAATAGCGCGTCTACACTGATTGGATGCTGAATCGCATTTAAGGCTGGCAGGAACCGGTTCTGGCAGGGCATGGGGTCAAGAGTTACCTTGTATGGCTGCTGCTTGTGCTTAAAGGGACCCTCCCCCTGGACAGCTGGTTCTCAGGTTTCCCTGCTTGCTTGCCTACCTCACTGAGGGACAGCAAAGCATTTTTTTTCTCTGCGTGCTCTGGTTGCCCTCACCCAGGACACCATAGCACTCTGCAGCGTGGAGCCGGACCCGCCCCGGGCACTCTGGTGCTTCTCCTGGACGTGTTGCTGCAAGCCTGGCAGCACGTTCTGCAGGCAGTAACAGTCTCCCTGGTCTGCTCCATTGGGGGCTTGTGCCTCATTCCTCCCTCATGTCCTTCCACTTACCCCTTCCCAACCCCCCTTCCTGCTGTACAATAAAAGACACACGTGTTCATTACAACAAAGCCTCTTTATTGAACAAAACTGGGGTGGGGGGAGAATGAAACTGAGGTGAGACTGGGGAAAGAAGGCAAGAGAGGGGAGGAAAGAGGGTGGGAAAGAGGAGAGGGAAACCTGGGAGGAAGGAGCTGGCAGGGGGAGAAAGGAGGAGAAGAAGCTCAGGGCCTAGGGTTGGGGGTCTCGCCTTCCCAACTGTCTCCCAGCACCACTGGTGCAGGGTCCTCGGCATCCCTGGTGGTGTGGGGAGGAAGAAAGGGGAGGGGCAGAAGGAGTGAGAGGAGGAGTGGTAGCTAGGGAGGCAGCAGGAGGCCGCAAGCCCTGCCCCAGGACACGGACAATCCTGCCCCCCAGAATGCGGTCCAGGGCATTGAAATAGGGGCAGGGGTCTGGGTCTGCCTCTGTTTGGGAGCTGCCCCCTGTGGCCCTGGCATAGACCTGCCACAGCTTCTTTATTTTCATGCGAACCTCCTCCTGGGTTCGCAGGTGACCTTTGATGGCCAGGCTGACAGCCATCCGCCTGCAGAAGGTCGTGTTCCTCCGTTTAGTGCAGAGATCATGGAAGTTGGAGGCATCCCCCCAAACCTCAATGAGGTCCCTGATCTCCGCACTGGACCAGGAAGGCACCCGCCATCTCCGGCCCTGGCAGGCGCCTGGGAGCTGGCAGACTGGTCCTGGAGAGTGGTGGAGGGCTGGCTGGCACTGGCTGCCTGGCTCATGCTGGGGCCACTGGGTCAAGTGCAGCAACTGCTGGCTCTGGGCTGGCAGGCTTGGAGCTGGTACAGGCACTGTGGCCAAAGTCTACCCCTTTAAAGACTCCTGGGAGTGGGGGAGGGAGAGGAGTTTTCTTGGTTGTGCCCGGAGTGGCCACCAGGGCACCCTGGGAAGGGCTGGAGGCCCCCTATTTCGAAATAAGTGTCTACACAACGCTTATTTTAAAATAGCAATTTCAAAATTGGCACTATTCCTTGTGGAATGAGGTTTACCAATTTTGAAATAAGCCCTCTGCTATTTCGAATTGATTTCAAAATAGCGGTTTGGCTGTGTAGATGCTGGTAAAGTTCTTCCAACAAAGAGAGCAACAACTTTGTTGCGTAGACAACAAAGAGAGTGGATCCAAAATAGTTACTTAAATGGGATTTCATAGAAATCTGCATATTTGAAAACATTATATTTAATTGTATGTTGTGAATTATTCAAGGCTGTGTCAATTTGGCAGACCTTGTCTGGCTTCTGTGATAATAACATTTGGAATTACAATGTCAGGGATTTTAAAAAGGGTTTTGGGGAGGAATATTAACCCTCATGTTTCAGGCCAGCAGGTAATCTCTGATTGATGGGTATTAAGGCTTCCTAACTACCAACTGAGGGATTTCTTGCACCTGTGTCTGAAGCATCTAGTATTGGTGATTGTTGAAATCAGAATAATGGACTATATGAATCACTGGACTGCTCCAGTGGAGCTGATGATGTTTCCTAGTCTGTTCCCTTACCTTTCTGCTAAAATAATGTCCCAATTTACAAGGATTCAAGAATAGTTTGTAATACTGGAATGGGTTAAGTCCTCGGAGGGAATGAAATTAGTTGGCACAGATGAGAGTTTATTCTTATTCTTTATTTATGATATGTTTCTGCGGGCAATTAGGTGTGTCGTATGTCTGTTTTTGTTCATTGTGAAAGAGGGATCCGATTCTGTAATTATTACCCCTGTAACCACTCAGTTTTAGTCACTCATTTTACAACTGTGGCTTTAATTTACTTTTAACTAGCCAAATTAGTCTGCTCAAGGTTTGTGTGGAGTAGGGGGAGCAAGGATTGGTCACCTCCTAGCTTCTTTCATATTGTGGGCATTGGCTTTTTTTAATGCTCGAAACTGAAATTATCTTTGTGTGTATATTTTAAGATTCTGACATTCACCAGTATGTAAAAATGCAAACCTTAAGGATATCAGCAGAAAAAGTGTTCGGGAAAAGGGAAATGTCATAATATTAAATGATTGATTTTTCAAAGATACAATGAAAGATTAGCAGAAGACATTAGGGATGTTAGCATATAGCCGTTTAAACAACTAACCAATAGGCTCATTGATTAATCCAAATGATAACATGCAACCTTCCCCTCCCCCACCTCCCAGCTACCTCTGTATCAGAGGCAACAAGGAGGGGGAGGCAAGAACCGGTGCCTGGGGAGAACAGGCTTTTAAGCTGGCTCCCTGCTCATGCTGGTTCCTGCAGCGCTTCCTGCCCCCCACCTTGCTGTTTCCCACAGAGGCAGCATCACAGGGGGGCAAGCACTGGATCCCGCAGAGCTGCCCTCCCCCTCCATCTCCGCCCGCTGCTGCCTCTGATAGAGAAGCAGCAACATGGAGGGTAAGGGGGGGCAGGCGGGAGCCGGTACATGTGGGAAGCCAACTTCCCACGCATGACGTAAGAACAGCCATACTGGGACAGACCAAAGATCCATCTAGCCCAGTGTCTGTCAGCAGTGGCCAATAGGAGATGCCCCAGAGGAAGGGATCACAACAGGTAATCCTCATGCGATCCCTCTCCTGTCACCCATTTACAGACAAACAGAGGCTAGGGACACCATTCCGACCCATCCTGGCTAATACCCATTGATGGACCTAACCTCCATGAATCTATCTAGTTCTTTTTTGAACCCTGTTAAAGTTCTAGCCTTCACTGTATCCTCTGGCAAGGAGTTCCACAGGTTGACTGCGCTGAGTAAAGAAAAACGTCCTTTTGTATGTTTTAAACCTCCTGTCTATTAATTTCATTTGGTGACCCCCTCGTTCTTACGTTGTGGGAATAAGTAAATAACTTTTCCTTATTCACTTTTTCCATACCAGTCATGATTTTATAGACCTCTATCGTATCCCCCACCTTAGTCTCCTCTTTTCTAAGATGAAAAGTCCAAGTCTTTTTAATCTCTCTTCATATGGAATCTGTTCCAAACCCCTAATCATTTTTATTTCCCTTTTCTGAACCTTTTCCAATGCCAATATATCTTTTTTTAGATGAGGTGACCACATCTGTACGCAGTACTCAAGATGTGGGCATACCGTGGTTTTATATAGAGGCAATAAGGTATTCTCTTATGCTTTATCCCTTTTTTAAAGGCCTGTGTGAGGGCAGGATGGCACAACCCCACAGGGACAAGGCTTCTCCCCACCCCTACTCCAACCCCCACAGCTCCCAACCCCCCTTTCCTGAGGGACCCCCGTTTTCCAGGACTCCCCCCCCCCCCCCCCCCCCCCCCCCGCAGGGACTGCAGCCCCAGAGTGCTTTATCTCCATGAGGAGGGCCCTGATGATGGACTTCCACCTGCCAAACTGGTTGTTCACTGACCGGTAGCTGTCTGGGGTGGGGTCTCAGGTGGGTGTTGCATCTCCAGAGGGTGGGGGCAAGCCAGGCACACAGCTCCAAAAAGGTGGCTTTCCACATGTGGACCCCCCCCCCCCGCAGGGACTGCAGCCCCAGAGTGCTTTATCTCCATGAGGAGGGCCCTGATGATGGACTTCCACCTGCCAAACTGGTTGTTCACTGACCGGTAGCTGTCTGGGGTGGGGTCTCAGGTGGGTGTTGCATCTCCAGAGGGTGGGGGCAAGCCAGGCACACAGCTCCAAAAAGGTGGCTTTCCACATGTGGAAGTTTTGGAGCCACTGCTGGTCGTCCCACCACTCCATGACCAGCTGGTCCCACCAGTCTGAACTGGTGTCGAGCCGACAAAAACACCTCTCCACTGTGGGGTGTGGTTGCCAGAGTGTAGCTTCCGCATCCAGGGAGAGGGTCCCCAGAATGAGCTAGTGGTCAAGCTCCTGCAGGACTAGGAAGGCAGCTGGCACAAAGTACTGCAAAAACTGCAGCATGGCCATGTGGGGCAGCTCAGGGGCAGGGGCAGCTCAGTCTCCATGGCACCAAGAGAAAAGCTGTGGCATCCAAAAAAACCGAGGCAGGCACAGAAGGCACTACCAGAGCTTTGCTGTCCCTTGAAGAGGTAAGCAAGTACTCAGCAGGAGCAGAGAAATGGCTGTCCAGAAGGGTCCCTGTAAGTGCGTGTCTCTGCAAGGCTCCAGTACTCAGCAGGAGCAGAGAAATGGCTGTCCAGAAGGGTCCCTGTAAGTGCGTGTCTCTGCAAGGCTCCAGCACCAGTACTCGAAAGCAACTGGTGACCTAAAACCCTGGCTGAAGTGGTTCCGGGTGGCCTTTTATGCAAGAGAGCGTCCAATCAGTCTAGACGCTCTCTTTTGAAAAACCACATATTTTTTTATGTGCTTTTTTGCGTGGACAACTCTCTTTCAGAAGAAGTTTTTTTCGGAAAATCTCTTCCAAAAAACCCCTTTCTTTCGAAAGAAGCCTGCAGTCTAGACGTAGCCTTGGTCCCCATCATATTGTATGTATAATTGGGAGTTTTTTACATTTATCAACATTAAATTACATTTGCCCTTTTGCTGCCCAATCACTTAGTTTGGTGAGATCTTTTTGAAGCTCTTCACAGTCTGCTTTGGTCT